AAGGTAAAAGAAAATAATACCAATAGAGCAAAAACTTGAAAGATATATTGGTAGAAATAAGGGCATAATGGTATGAGTATGAAAGTTTTAAGAAAGATGATGAAGAGCTTCATATCGGTAGAAAAGAGATATACTTAAGTGATTTATCATAAAAAAATGTTGATTCTTGAATACTTCTACAGGAAGAGCCAAAGATATTTGGGAAGAAATTAGACCTTTGAGTAGAACCTCCAATATATCGGTAGACATAACATGTACATGGCAGGCTAAGATTGAAGGGAACAATTTGGGTAGAATCTATTCATTTTGGTAGAAAATGGATATTTGGATATAACAGACATATATCAGTAAGAAAGTTATAAACAAGAGAGGCCAAGCACAAACGAAGATATTTGGGTAGAAAGTCACTCCTTTGGGTAGGAAGTAGTCATTTCGGTAGGAATGAGTGCTATCAATATGTCCAAGAATGATTTTAGCATATAGTTAAAATTTAATTTAATTCAAGTTGTAATCAATTCAAGGACAAGAGATAATTTAAATAATTATCTCTAAATAAAAATACAAGAATTAAACTTAAGGAAGTCAAAGATTTTAAACACAAAGGCCTTCTCTCCTTAAAGTTGCCAATAACATTTACCTGCAAAATAACAATTTTTTTATTTTGCAATCATCAAAATCAGAGCTCAACAGTATTTGGAACACTTACTTAGGATGAAGACATATTCTAGGCCTTATTTTTTATGAAAACAAAAGCTAAATCATAGTTATATAATCAAAATTTATTTTCAAAAAGTGTTTGCTACTTTGCTAGCTAAGATTAATCAATAGTTTTAGTACCATGCAAAGATTCCCAGAAAAAATCTACATTGAGAAATCCATTAGCTGGCCTGCAATAGAATGTAAGGTGTTTCTTACTGATGGAGCATTATCTGGTATTTATGTTAAGCATTTAAGTCTACCGAGTTTGTGGCCTAAAAAGTAATCTACCGAGTCTGATGGATAATGCTTGACACGCCTTAGACTTACAGGTCGCCTCATCCATAGGAGATGAGAAGCAAGGAAGGGGACAGCCAATCTGAATTTCGTTGAAACTACCTTATTTATATTCATTAGACATAACAATGAAAAGCAAATAACGGTCTGCAGTGTTCACAGGTATATATCTGGCGGATATCAAGCATATGATCAAGGACAATCATCAATGCCCAAAAATGGGAAAGAAGAAAAGGAAAGAATGGGCAGAAAGCACATTTAGCCTGTATGATTAGCTGAGAAACTAGATAAAAGAGATGCCAAAATAATGATTCATATAGCATGTGACGGCAGAGGAGAATTAAACCTTATTGCTTGAACTGTTATGAAGAATCCTCTAAGCCCAAAATGACCACAATAAGGTAAACAAAGACTTGGGTTGCTCCAGAGTTTATGAAATCCGTCGAGTCCATGCTTCTTGAAAGAACATGCAACATTAAATTCTTCTTCAGCCCCCATTTTGAGTTGTGTCTACCACATAAAATTTCAAAGCTTTAGCTGCAACGTAGGCATCGCTTTAAGTTCATGCATTTAAGCCAGCCCAGTTCTTAAAAGCAATGAGTGCTTCCATTTTCCTGAAGTTTCTTCTTCTTAACTTTGACACTTTGAGTTTCTTATGAGTCTCCATGAATGCTTGCTTGTATCTCCACTTATCAACAAAAATCTTCATCTCATTAGATTTCCCCACAACTTGCATAACCGCATCAAAGAAACCTCCCTTCACCATAGCATACAAGAAAGCATCAACAAGGCTGTGTTCAAATTTGATCCCCTTCTGTCCATCCGCTGATAACTTTCGCTTTACCTCATTCCACAACATTAGAACATTAAAATATTTCTCTGCCAAGACATACCCATTAATTAGGGACAGATATGTCTGATCATTTGGCTCAAATTGCAGGAATACCATCCTTCTAAATGTCCTTCTAGCATCTTCTAGTCTCCCAGCTTTACAGAAAGCATGAATGATAGAATTCCAGTCATGAGTACCAACTTCAATTCGAGGGTCCTCAGCCACCTCATCTAAGAAAGCTGCCATCAACTCAGGTCGATGGTTTTCCATCAAACCTGTCATTATAGTTAGGTAGCTCCCCTTCAAATCAGAAATTCTTGCCTCCCTCATATCCCTAAATAATGTAAAAGCAGACTGAAAATCTTGGCTGGACATGGATGAATCTATTAGAGCATCATAGGTTTCCACATCCAATTTTAGACCTGAATTACTAATCTCCATGACTAATTGAGTAGCTTCAGCAGTCCGATTTTCTTTGCAGTAAGCTTTTAAGATTGGCACATAGACCCCGAGACCAACAGAGCCTCCAAGGGCATTCATTTCATCAAGAACGCTGTGTGCCTTGTTTGATAATCCACTGTTAACACATGCACTAACAATACCATAACCTATAGATTTATCTACGGTATTTGAAGGCTCTAACTTCTGAGCTTCAATAATTAAATTTGCTAATCCCTTGATATGTCCATTTTGAAGATATCCCTTAACTACTTCACAGTAAGTTTCTTCTCCAAAATTCCAACTTTTGTCATCTCTATCTTTCAAACTTTGAAGAATCGTTAGCTCAACTGATGCTAACTTGCCTGACTTAACATACCCTTGTATTAAATTACAATAGAATTCCTTTTTGTTTGAGAAACCAAAGCCACTCATTAAAAATTTTAACTCATCTATTTTTTGTGCAAGCCCCTTCAATGAATACAAATAAGCAAGAAATCCAAAACTGGATTCATCTGGTCTAACACCCAAAACTGTCATTGTTTCAACAACTTTTTCAGCATCACTCACTGATTCAAGGTCACGACAAGACCCTTCCAGTGCTGCATTACAAGCAGCCAGGTCAGGTTTCATGAAATCCAATTTCTCATCCAAAGCAATCCTACAATTCTCTTCAAAAAGGCGTAAAAAAGCAGCAAGGTTACTGTTCTTCCGACTAATTTCAACAAGCACACTGCCCCAGACACTAAATGGAACAAAAAACCTGTTCTTGAACATGCATTTAACAAGGGCAAAAGCAGGGGCGGCAAGATTGGCACATTTCATAGAATCAAGCATGGCATGAACTGTTTGAAAATCTAATATTTTAGGGTTCTTCTCTATGATGTATACTACAGATGCAAAAGACCTCTTGAGATTATGAATGTCACCATGTGAGGACAAGTGGGCGATGAGGGAATTGGTGATTGACTTACTTGGGAAGGCAGAGTTGTTTGTGAGAGTCTTGAAAGACCTCCATGCCTCATCTGTGTCACTGCTGATAAGAGACTTGTGAAGAGTATTTTGCAGGGTGGTTATTTGTTCAGGAGTGAGGGAACGAGGTGGTGAGGTTGGGAGCTTGGTGGGTTCTGGAGAAACTGAAGGGTTCCTTTTAAGGGCAAAGATAGAAGGTTGAAGGAAGGAGTAAAGGGATGGAATCTCAGGGGTGGAGGAGGAGGAGCGTCTATGTGTAAGCAAGCACGGCACTTTTCTCGCCATTGGTGATCAAAGAAGGACCTTTCCCATCTCTTGATTATTTTTCCGGTTCCAATTTTTCATTGCTTCCCTCTAGTCGTTCGTTTTATTAGGTTCCAATTTTCCATGGCTTCCTTCTGGCCTGTCGGAATGGATTCTTAAATGTAATTTAACTAACAGATAACCAAACATAACAATTAAAATCAAAGAAGCAAGATTCGGTAAGCAAACAGAAATTAAAATCAGACAACAATGGAACATCAGAAAGGAAGAAAAAATCAAAAAATGGGACAAGACCTTAAATTTTCAGAAGGGCAGAAACAAAACAATCAAAATCAGAGAGGCAGAAAATGGAAGAGACGAAATCATCATAAGGCGTCAAGGCAGTTAGACTAGACTTAAAGAGACGAAATCGAACCTCGGAAGAAGAGTAAAAGTCTGAGAGACGAATACGGTTGACGGAACAATGGAAATGGAACACGACCTTGCCTTGAGAGAGAGATCGACGTCGGTGAAGATTGAGAACAGAGCTTTGGAGATCAGATCATCAGAGCTTCGCTGCTTCGGTTCGAAGTTCAGACACAGAGTGGAGAGTGTCGGGGCCGGGATCCGCATCCCACCAAGGGTGATCTTGGCCGTTTATTTTCGTTTAAATGATCTCTGTCGTTGCTTTTAAATTATTTTTAATATTATATTTATTAAAATAAAATTAGAGAAAATGATGATAAAATTTCTCTAAAATATATAAATAATAATTCGATCCTTAAAATATTATCATTTTTTAAATTATTAAAATTTTTTTATCATTAATAAATTTATATAAATTATTAAATTATTTTTGTTAAAAATAAATGATTCATAAATTTTATTTAAACATTCACAATTTTTTATATTCATAATAATATAATGATAAATAAATAATAATAATGATAAAAAAAATTTAATATAAAGTTATGATTTGTTAATTTATATAAATTTATTAATGATAAAAAATTTTAAAAATTTAAAAAAAAATTATAACATTTTAAAAAATAAAATTATTATTTATATATTTTAAATAAATTTTATCATCATTCTCTCATAAAATTATATAAAAAAATTCACATTTCATATAAATTATTTAGAGTATTATTTAAATAATTAATTTATAAAAATTATAAAAAAAATTTAATATTTACCTCTCAAGTTATATCTACCATAGTATATTTAAAAAACTAATTTATAAAAGTCATTAAAAAATAATATTAAATTAAATTATTTAAATAAATTTATACTAACTAAATTTTTGATAAACAGTTGTGATAAAAATCTCTATATTCTTTACATATTTTTATTTTAATAAATATAAAATAAAAATAAAAAACTTAAATCACTATTCATTAATCGTTGGTGAATATCATGATTTTATCTTTTAATAAATATAAAATTAAGTCCAAATTTAATATGTAGTCTTGCGGCAAGAGTTGACTGCTGAACTGGGAAGTGCATATTGTTTTAAGTCATAAAGGCTTCCTAGTTTGCACTTGTCAGTGTGTGTCGTCCAGCAACCCCTGGGAATGGAAGTGGAGTCATCAGCTTCAACGGGGACCAATAAGATCATAACCTTGGAAGAATGGAATGGTTCCTCTCCCACAAAGCTCTCTAAAACTTTCACCATCAGAGCTTCTCATTCTTCACTCTCCATTCAAAGGTTTCTTCCCTTCTCGTACCATCAATCTCCTTTTCATTCCCCTCTCCCTGTTTTTTTTTTTTTTTTGGGTTCTTCTTTCAAATAATAAATTCTTCTTGCCTCGATATTCTCAGATCCAGTGCCCGTTTCAGTTATGTTTGGAAACGATTCCTTCAAGCATTTGTGCCCGAGGCAAACTTCGATTCTTATATATTGTCATAACTATATGATTCTTCTTTGGCCTTGTGGTAAAAAAAGTTTCTTTCTCTCTCTTTGATCGCTGTTTATTAATAACTTACAGGGCTTTCCAAATAGCGTGACTTCAGATTATGTTCCTTTTCAAATATGGGATTCATTGCAGGTAAACAGATAGTGATGAATCTGGGGAAATCATTTCAGTTTACAGAAAAGCCATGTTTTTTTTTTCTTGTTTTGGTAATACAGAAAAGCGATGTTCAATTGGCTTGTTCTTACTGTTGATTTTTACTGTGTATCGATTATTGCAGGGCCTTTCAACGTATATAAGGACAATGCTTTCGACCCAGGTAAGGGATTGTTTCGCTCTGTTTTCAGTGTAATTGTTGCCATGGAAGACTCAAAATGGTATATAACTTGTCTCTCTTAATCTCATTTAGGCTCTCTTGAGTGCTATTGGGGTTGGCGAGAAATCAGCAACAGTCATTGGTGCCACTTTTCAGGTATTCCCTGTAAGAAAAATAATTCTTACGCGTTTGCTGTTAAGATCTGTAGGGAAAGCGTGACACATGCCTGAACCTTTTCAGAAGTTGATGTGATGTTGAATTGGTAAAAATTGCCGACATTTTAATATTGTAATGTCTGACATTGGAGAACTTGATAGCAAATAACTAAGGTCATGTTTGGTTACTAGAATGGAATTGATTGAAAAAATCAAGACAAAAATGAAATAAATCATCTTTCTTCCTCATGGAAAGCATAATTAAACTTATTAATATATATTACAAATATGTGAATCATTATACCTTCCAAAAATTTCATGAATTATGATTTTCAATCTTATGAACTAAATTACCCCCTTTCTTTATGAATGTGGTTTACTATTCCTTTTGATCATCTTATTTTTACCTTTATTTTTTTCAATCCATTTCTTTCTAGTAACCAAACATGACCTAAGTAATTATAGCGAGATGGAGCTTGGAAGAAGCCTTTACACTGCTTACACTGTAGCATGTTGACAACTTTTCCCCCCCTAAAATGTTAAACCTATTTCCAGTGGTTCTTGAGGGATTTAACTGGCATGCTTGGAGGTATCCTATTCACATTCTACCAGGTATGTATCTCTTGAATCATCTTATTCTACTTCCTTATTTATTTCTGAAGGGAAAATATACTGAATTCGTTTCTTTTGGACATAGTCTTGGTAAGCATATGGGGAAGAGATTGGCTATTGGAATGGTAGTAAATTGTGAGGAATATTGCAATTGAGTTGCCTGATATCCACGGTCCTTGTGTTAAGTAACCTGATATCCTGCAGGGATCAAACCTGGATAGCAATGCAAAAAAATGGCGTTTGGTTGCTGATCTTATGAATGATCTCGGTAAAAATAATTTTCCTTCATCTTATCTATTTGTTTGAATTGAACAACCCCCTTTGTTATTCAATTTTTTCCTGAAGCATAACAGATGACTGTTGTTGTTGTTGTTGTTTGTAAGAACAGATGACTGTTATTGTTTGTTCATGAAGTGCCGGTAACAATTTTACAGAATAGAGTATTAGTTGAATCTGTATGACTGTCAATACCAATTGGGATTTGTACGAGCCTATTGTACGCACTAAATATGAGTTCTATATTCTTGCTCAATGGAGAATTTCCATTTTCAAAATCTTACGAGACCATTTACTCTCAAACCAGTATTTCTTTTCTTTTTTCCCCCGTTTTTGAGGAAACTAGCAGCATCTTTATGGTGTAGCTTCCATCTTGCTGCTTTGCATTTAATCTGACCTCCTAGATCCATTATTTCTTCATGTCTAACATTGATTTGTGAAGCTCTCTGCATGGACTGTAGGAATGCTGATGGACCTTGTCTCCCCATTGTTTCCATCTGCTTTTGTGGTTATCGTTTGCCTTGGAAGCATATCAAGATCGTTTAGTAAGTTCTCACATTTCCAAAAGTAAAAAATAGACACTGATATTAAGTTAGTTACACCATGATCACTGTCTTCGTAAGATTTTTATTTATAAAATTAGGCATTTTATTTGATGTAATACCTAATGACGTCAGTTGCTCTAATCTATGCTAACAATTGAACCTCTTCAATGGAAGTATCTGTTTTAGAACAATCATATAATTAGATATTTCTTCTACAACAACAACAACAACAACAAGCCTTTATCCCACTAGGTGGGGTCGGCTACATGGATTGCAAGACGCCATTGTGCTCTATCATTTATCAAGCTTTTAGGAATATTATTAATTAAGAGATCGCGTTCAACAACTTCCAAGAGTGTTCTCTTAGGCCTTCCTCTACCTCTCTTAATCGGACTCAAAGTTATATGTTCCACTCTTCTCACTGGTGCCTCCCTTGATCTTCTTTGTACATGTCCAAACCATCTCAACCGATTTTCTACCATTTTTTTCTCAATAGGTGCCACCCTCACTTTTCGTGTACGTGCTCATTTCGAATTTTATCTTTACGTGTATGTCCGCACATCCATCGTAATATTCTCATCTCTGCTACTCCAACTTTATGCTCTTGCTATCCCGTTAGAGCCCAGCATTCACTACTATATAACATTGCCGGTCTGATAGCAGTGCGATAAAACTTTCCTTTAAGTTTATTAGGCACCTTACGGTCGCAAATAACTCCTTTGGCTTTTCTCCAATTAAACCACCCAGCTTGAATTCTATGTAAAATATCGCCACTGATTTCGCCATCATTTTGAATAATGGCTCCCAAATATCTAAACTTTTCCACTTGAGGTATAATTTGATCTCCCAATTTCACTTCCAAATTATTGTCGAATAGTCCTTTACCAAATTTACAATATAAATATTCCTTTACCAAATTAGATATTTCTTCTAAGCAATGAGTTTTTTAAATTGACATTTTACTTAGATCCTTTTTTTTTTATTTAATGTGTGTCCCTTTAAAATATATTGCTGGTTAGCTGGTGTTGCAAGTGGTGCCACAAGAGCAGCTTTGACTCAGCATTTTGCCCTTCAGGATAATGCCGCAGACGTATCAGCTAAGGTATTGTTTGCATTTATTCTAACTACTGACTTTAGAATCTGATGTTTTGCTCTGGATGACAGTATTTATTTTAATTTATCAACATCTATCTATAGGAAGGAAGTCAAGAAACAGTGGCTACCATGGTTGGCATGGCATTGGGTATGGTTCTTGCTCGCATTACAATGGAACGACCACTAGCCATATGGTTTTCCTTCTTGTCTCTGACCCTGTTCCATATGTTTGGTAAGTTTCTAGGTTATAATTTGCTTTACACAATTCTCTTTGCATCTTAAAGTTGTAAAAAGAAAACGTAGTATTATAAATAAATCGGACTTGCTTTGTTGTATAAATAAAATGCTAAAGACATTTGCTCCATTTCCTACTAGCATCAAATTTTGGGACAAATTGGTAATTTATATGCTCTGTTATGCGTCATGGACAAAATTTGCTTTTTGATGCTGTTTACAACCTATGATATTTCAATGTCATGGAGTTTCTATTGGTGGTTTGTGTTACAGTTAAAACATATAAATGATTGATTTTTCTTTAGCCCAACAGATTAAGCTTTTAACTGAGATAGTAACAAATTGCTGTCAAATTAGAAAACTGTCTGGCCACTTTAACACAACTTTAACCTGAAGATCTCTCCATCTATTAAAGTTAAACCTACCCTTCACTTTTCTTTAAATACATGATCTAAATCTGCATTATACACAATACTGATTCTGCAAAAGTTGTCTCTTTTATGCAGCAAATTACCAAGCTGTTAGATGCCTTGCATTGACCTCACTAAACCCTGAAAGGAGCTCAATTCTTTTGCAGCATTTCATAAGGACTGGCCAAGGTATTGTCTGTTTTTTTATTCCATTGTTTTCCCTGTGATCAAAACATCTGTGACATTTAGTGTTGTGTGTGTTATCTTAGCACCAAATCTGTATCACCCAAGGCCACGATAGTGGACCTTGTAAAACAAGGATGAAGTGACCATCCTCAGCAGCCTGCAACCTGCAAAGGAGAAAATAGTTCCCAACGCTGTTAAGCTAGCCGCATAATTATCATTCCCCTTTTTTTTTTTTTTTTGAGTATTAATGCTGGCTTCTGAACTTCTTGCCAGTTCTCACCCCTGAACAGGTCTCTTCGTTGGAACATATTTTACCCTTACAGCTTACTTCATGGGGCTCAAAGAATGCTAATTTACTGCATTTGCGAGTGCGTTTGGGCACAAGGATTTCTTCATTAAATAACATGGAAATGTGAGTATTGCCATTGACCAAATTTTTTTTCAATGGGAAGAAACAAACTTTTTCTCAAGCATCGTTATTATAAAATTTTATAGTGTTACAGTTTTCACAAGTCACGAATAATGTGGTTCCTTCTTCAAATTCCGTCTATTGCACCAGGGCCAACTTAGTTTGTGCATTATCCCCGCATGTGGGGTCTGTGCCTGAACTTCTGTCTTGCTGCATAATTACCAGCCTTTACCATTACCCAAATTCCATATAAGGTGATAACAGAGTTGTGTTTACTTTCAATAGCTCAAAACCTGACAGGTAGCTGTTGTGTTATAATGAGCAGACAAAACCTCAGAGTCTTGCATTAAGATATGTCAAGTTGAAAAAATTAACAAACTCTTCCCGTGCATCTCATCTAGCATTGTCTCAAAGCCTAAACAGTCCAAGATTAGGAGTTGATTCTTGTGCAGTCTTTAGAGAAAACAATTAGTAAATTCCATTTCTGAATGATGCTGACAGTAAAATAACGTTTTGTAACAGATTGGAGCCTCTGCTTTCTGCAGCATCTTACTATGCTAAAGGTCAGTTCAGCTGCCCCCATATGTAATGTTGGCTACTGAGTTTTCGCATTCCAACAGAATTCTTAACTCTTTACTCATTCGTTGCTTATATATATATAGAAAAGTACTTGCTAGTGGAAAGGAAGGGGATCATTCATGTCATAGCTCATAAAGACTCGAGTGCTGTCGATGTCTTGAAGTCATTTATTCATGCTATTGTTATGGCAAACCATATTGGTAAAAGCAAATCTTTGCATACAGACAGTCAATTGTGGATAGATAATCAGTATGAAATTTTTATTCAGAAGGTACTTTTTTAGGTTTCTGGATGAATACAATTTACTCATGCTTGCATGCATCTTCACTAACTTGAACACTAAGTACACATTCATTGTGCAGCTCAAGTCATCAGGTTGGAAAACTGAACGGCTTCTATCGCCGTCTGTTATCTGGAGGGCTAACTGGACCTGTGATCTGTTGGAGGAAAAAATTGACTAGTTCATCTTCAATTTTGATTCGTTGAACATTCTTCTCATAGTGGTGACTAGTGGCAGCTCTGATTGGATTGAGATATTCTGAATTCTGATTTGTTGAAACCAATTAGGAAACCTGAAGCTAGAGAAGAAAGCTCTTCTAGAATGAGGATATGATGTTATTTATGCTATATTTATGATTTTGAAGATCAGAAACTTCCCTGCATTCTAATGTCTTGTATTTGGTTAAGGCAGATGCTTTGATTTTAGCCACTCCCGTTCCGTCCTGCTTTCCTCTTTTTCTTTTTCTTTTTCTTTTCCCCCCCGGCTCTTCATTACCTTCATTTTTTTTACTCAAGATTTTATTTGCCGCTTGTTACTGTCACTTGGTTAAGTAAATGCTGAAAAGGTGAGAGATGCAAGTGAGAAAATAACGAACACCCCCCCCCCCCCGGGGGGGCAACCAAAAAGTCAAAGATAATTTCAAAGAAGGTCATTTTTCATGCACCCAAGAATTTTGTAATTCCTTTTTCTTTTACGAAATTTAATAATGTTACTTTGGGGAAAAAAAAAAACCTGTTTCTTTAGCCGTTTCTATTCTTAGGACTTGATAATTTCAAGATTACATGGAAGTACAATTATCAATGAATGCATTGATTAATTATTCTATTATAAGCTTGTTATTCAAAGAGAAATTGAAGAATTCAAGGTAGAAAAGAGAGAGAAATTGAAGAAATAAGATACAAATTAAAGGCAAATCATTTTACACTGCGTTGCTAACATGAACGCCGGAAACAACATGAAGTTTTGTTTTTTTTTTTTTTCCCAATGGAAACTGAAATCTTATTAATCAATAATACTCAAGTACAAAGTACAAACAACAAAATGAAAGAAAAGACAAGAAAAAATCAGCGTAGAGAAATCCTTCATCAATTGCCAGGTGGGGATTAATCAATAAAAGGATTTCAAATCCGTTCCTGGCATGATAGTTGCAATGTTCCTGCTTTTTATACACTTCGTTGTTTACTCAACGACGCCAACGAACACGGAAATCTTCATTCTTGTCACAGAACATATATTGCAGAATTAATTTTTTGGTCTTTTATGGGCCAAGAACATCTATATATTGTAATCTAAAACTATGGTGCTTATGTACAAGTCCATCTTGGAAGGAACCTATTGGGAGGCGCATGCCTCCATATCCTTTGATTACTGCTGTCTGCTGAATCAATCATTTCTGCAACTATCATTTATTTACAACCAATTTCTGTGTCGCTAATTGATCATTTCCAATTCCTTTGGCCCGATGATGCCATGAGTACAACAACAGCCACAATAAACATAAACAACATGCTCCCAAGCAGTATATATGTTCTTCCAGATGATTTCCGAAACTCACCAAACAAAACAATGCCCCAAAAGGTGCTCACTAGTGGAAGTGCCTGCTCGTCAATCCAAATTAAATTATGGTTACTGTCCTATCAAAAGTATACTTGTTCTATTACCAACTATATATTCATGTAGTTTTTATTTTTGGCCTAAGCTCATCTTAAGTTAGGTCCATCGTTTAAGGAAAATTAATGACTCAGGTTCAAGGGTAAAGATTAGGATTTGCCCGTGTTTCTAAATTTCATATATGTTACTCTCTTTGTCCCAATTTATAAGGCATTTTTTGAAGACAAAATTACACATCCTAACAAGATTCCTTAAATATTGTTTACAATTTTAATTTTTCTATAAACTTCCAAAAATACCCTTTATTAATAAAAGAAGGGAAGAAATTTTATGAGTAAAATAATGAGAGGTAATATTAAAACAATTATCATTAATAAAACCTTATTTTTGTCACATTTTATATTTTGAGACACTAAATCACTTCCAAAAACATGTTATAAATTGGGATGGAGAGAAATATATAATTTTGTTATTCTGTGTACCAAATAGGTCCCAAGGGAATCACCTGGACAGAATCTGCTGCTGCATATCCAGCAGCTTGACCACCCATGAATTGGAGACCATTCCCAAGCCCACAAAGGAGACCAGCCAAAAGGCCCCAGCCTCTGCCATCCCAGTCTACCAAATAAGCCTTGAAAGATGACTTGGGCAAGTTTAAGATAGGTTGGTAAAGGAAGGTGATGTTTAGAACGACGGCAATAACAAAACTGGACACAGAGAAGTAGAAGAAGGAAGTATAAACAGTCAAGTGAGGAACACCTTCCTTTAAAGCATGCCACTGGTCATTTGTTGCCAAGTTAAACGCTGGTGAGAATAAAGAGAAGCAAACTCCAGCAAAGAAAGTTATGGCCAATCCAATGAAAGTACTTTGCCCAAATACCTGCAGCAAAAGTTTAAAAAGAATAATATCTTAGAGAGGAATTATTTTTAGAGCTTGAGAAGATTATTCGCAGAAGTGTATAGGTACGCATATATCTTGAGCACCCTTTTTATCAGAACTCATCTCACACACTCACACTCAGATATGTGATGAAACCCTCTACTCTGTTAAGCTTAAAAACAAGCAAACCCAGAAAAAACAGTTCAAATGTCACTAAAAATTACCATTACTGAATAATAGAGTGGGATTACAGGCAAAAGGAATGAAACTACACTCACATGACATTTACAGAGTACATGAAACAGCATAAAATACACCCTCTGAGCAGCAACACACACAAGCCTCTCACAAATACACTATAAGGTGGAAAGATAACATGGTGAAGAAAAGATGATCTTCTCCACCCCCAATCTGACATTCGAGAGGCCAAAACTCTCCTTACTTGACCACGATTCTCCAAAATGCTCCACACCTCTATCTGGCAGACATGTAGGATCAGACCATGTGAGCCACAAGGCAAGTGAGGCAATTGCCTAAGGCCTTCAAAAAAATTTGTTAATACCCCCTATTATATATGTGTGTAATTGATATGTGTATTATTATATATTTAATTGTAGATGAAAGTGAATAAAAAGTATTGATTGTTCTTCTTGTTGATAAGTTCTAATCATTCCCAATATAACATTAATTATTGAGCTAAGTCCATTATCTACATTAAAAGAATAGTAAGATCCATTATATACTAATTTGCACTATATTAGCTTGCTCTAAATCTTGCTCACAGTCTCACTTTTCATTTTCTCCTTTTCTTATTCTAAAGCTTACAACATTGAAAAATATCAGTATCAAAACCTTGTGTAGTTTTAGACCATCAAGGTGAAACCATTAAGCCTTATTCAAATCTTGTTTATACTTTATATAATTATTATTGGTTTTTTACATTAATCATTGATATTATTAGTCTTAATTATATATTTTTTGTTAAAAATGTATTACCATCCCATATTAGCATTAATATTCACATTCTATCCCAGCATATAAGATAGAGTAGGAGCACTTTGTCAACACTAATTTTCATCTCACTATTGAATTAATTTAGTATTTTATTAGAATCACTATATTATAAAATTTAATCTATGGTTTTTAAAAAATGATGAGTGGATTTTTATTTTTTTTTTTTTTGGGAAAGGACAATTACACATGCTAGACTTTACTAATAATTTTACTTTAGACCTCAAAACTTCTTCACACAGCCTTGTGTAAGATTTAAATATCAAAAAACTACAATAACACTGCTTACACTCTAGCTGACCTAAATCTATTCTCCTATGTCACCTTTTCTTTTGACCCAAAGAATAATCCTTTGACCCAGTAGTTTTTTGTTTTGCCCCCATCCGTCATTTTCTCCTTAATTTGCTCCTATAGGAATAGGCCTTAGCAACTCAGCAGCTCTATCAATATGTGTGCGTGTTTATATTTATGATTGGTTTTTTTTTGTTTTTGGACAAAATATTTTTGATTGGTTTGATAAGATGACAAGTATCCATAAACGACCAAAATGTATAATTAATGGGAAATTTTGATCAAATACACTTAAGAAACTTTACCTAAATCTTACACTAAATATATTTGCGATACATGATAATCACCTGCCTTTATAGCCCTTTTCTTCTCAAGCTCTATAAGAAAAGCTGCTGTCCCTGCTTTCGCCTTGTCCGCAGAACCAACTCCTCCACTCTCGAGATCCTTTGATTTGACTACAGATTCTAAAATAAAAAAAAGGATAAATGTAGCATTTTGTGACAGAAACGACCTCACAAGAGAGCAAATTTCGCGTGACTGGACCTTCTTACCTTCATTTATTTCTTTCCCAGAGGAAGTGTTAATTAATCTGGCAAAAGAACAAAATTTGGAGGCAAAATCAATAACATATTGCCAACAATAAATGAGAAAGAAGACACAAGAAAAAATAATAATAATAATAATTAATTATTATTATTATTATTATTATAAATACTATTGAACATTTCAGCACATGTAAAACAGCTGGATGTTACCGTCCCATTGAAGAAAATATTTGGCAGCATTATAAACTAGAACTAAATCAACACTCAAAGCTAGAATAGCCGCTTGTGTTGGGGTTTCAATCCCCCGTCCCTTCTCCTTCTCCCCTTACCCAGAATAGGTCTCAGCATCCATTGGAACACCCCCCCCCCAAAAAAAAAAAAAAAAACTATCATAAAGAAGACCAAATGAACTGATTCTGCTTCCAACAAAAAGTCCCTAAAAGTAGTACAAAAAGATGGGTAATTAACACCACCTGATTAACTGATATGATGGTGTTACTGAACTAAGTTATTTAATTGAAAAAGAAGAGGAAAAAGATACTATTTTAGTTTGGTGGGTTACTGCTCCTAACGTTAATTGAAATGGATGCAATCTTGGCTTACTCTTCCACCACTGTTTCATTAAGAAGTTTAGCTAATTTAGTGTTTACATCACATCTAAAAAAATTCAGCACAGCGTTTCCTATTTTGGCATTACAGTCAGGGACGTAATTTAGGTTTGCCCAAATCTAAAACCCTTCTCCAGGAGATCTATAAGTATCCTACCACACGTTGGATTGATGCATTTATGATTCTACCCGACAGTGTTCTCAAAGGAGTTAAACTGCATAATGCATCCAAGCTCAAGTAGTTCTTGTGACACCGTCTCTTAAAGCCAGACAAAGTAAAACAGAGAACTTCATCTTTTTTCCTTTTTTATTTTATTCTTAGAATGAAAGAAGGCATGAGAACAAAAACAAGTGAAGAAGATTAAAAGCGACAATTGGATATACTGATTCATTTAGCAGCATAAATTATAGAATCTTTGAGCCTATACTTAGTAGCCTTCCCGTGCAGATGTGAACAAACACATACATAGTTCCATCTTTGTGATTGTTGGACAAATTGCTGAGCTTGGCTTCATCATCCGCAATGTTAGATGAATGCACAGCTGAACCAAGACAAACTGCAATGAGAAAGCAACCAACTCCTGGGAAAAGAATCTGAGCTCTATTGATTCTGTCATCCAAGAAGTAATTCAAAGTTGTGCCTGTTACAGTTGACACAGACAGTGCAGTGAAATTCAGAACTTGAGCAAGCTACATATATTTAGAGGTTCAAAAACCTCCATTGAACGCATATCTCGTGCACACTCACAATCTTACATGCATACTTCTTCATGGAGGACTAGCCTCAAGCCTCACAAACTTGAAGTACTGAACCTAAGCCTGCCGTAAAACCAGTAATAGCTCAAGCTCACGTTGAACTTATTGGCCAGTAGAACGGGCTTAAATTTAAGCCTGCTGGCACAAACATTAGGCCTCGGAATTAGCTCACTATTTGAGCCCACAATACCCATGAGCCAAGTGATTCCTTTCCTTTCTATCTTATCTCTATTCTTCTTGAGGGGGTATGAGGGCGCAATACCTATGACAACATTTATGCTTGATGATACCACTTCCACAACTGATAAACCGACCAACGCCCAAGCATATTGCGCGGACAAATTCCCAATGCTAAGTACTACACCACCCGCCATAGCAAACAGAACAGAGGGCCAGTTATCCTGTCACATAACAGCTTTGTAAATCATAAGCCAATTGTGAGCAATGATATGCAATGTAGTCGCAGAGGACAGTTCATAGTAAACTAAGTGCATAAGACTAGAAGAACATTAGCATCAGTTTTAGGATATTGAAAGGTTTAAGAAGTTAACTATCAATAAAACACATAAGTTTTATTTATTTAAGTTCATTACCAGTAAACTAAGTAAGCTTTTTCTTGATTTCAAACACCATACATAAAGATCCACGTAACCATAATCTACATGCAAGCATAATTATAACAACTATTCAAGTATGATAAGCGTCATCCAATTGTGACTCGTCTTGCCTTGAAACCAAAACAGCCTATGTAACTACTGTAATGTTTCTACATGATACTACCTTGAATGCAAAGAATGTCCACCTGATAAAGTTGATCAATGAAATTTGGGTTATCAGGGGTGCTCTTGCCCATCTCACCAAAAGTGAAAGCAATGAGTACAGCAGCCAAGAGATTGGTGATTGAGTAGTCAAGGTAAGTGTGCTGAGGAAGACGACCTCGCCTTTCTAAAAGAGTCATAATAGCAGGCCATGTCCCCAAGAAGAAAAGGGCCAACAGCATACACAGTATGGCTCCAACCTTGCTCTCCACCATGTACATTTCCAGCCCAGAACTCAAAACCCTTTCCGATTGTGAGGCAATCAAGAAGAAAGAATCAGAGAAATCCTGGAAGAAAATTCCATTAGGTCCCACTAACGCCAAATATAAAAATGACAAGCTATTAGCAGGATACATGAAGATTCTTAATATTACAATTATTTCTTTCTTTCTTTCTTTCTTTATTTTTTATTTTTTATTTTTTTTTTGCCAGAAAATGCATGAAAGTTAATAAGGCCCCATCGATCAAGAATCCACATGTATAGTCTAAGGGAGAAATTTGCGGAAATGAAAGGCTAAAATAAAGATAGAAATCCTCAACTAAATGTTGAAATTAATATCCACGAAGACGAAGCTGTCACAAATACGAGACCTGTCTATAAATCAAATCAACCTTGCAAAGATAAATGATTGGGGGTGGGGGGAGAACAGAAATAATGATCATCATCTGCAAAAGTTTCCCATTATCTCCGAAATCGTCCATTACAAGTCACAGAAGCGAAAGACGTTCACTAATCCGTTCAAAAGGGTAGGCACTTGAAACCAAAAGGAAGTCCAGAACAGAATAAAAATTAGGTTTTTTAATAGAAAAAAAGTAGGAGAAATAACGGATCGATGAGATAGTTTAGAATTTAGACAGACAGAAGTTCTGATTACAAGTTACTCAGCTTAACACGAGGACACTTACACGAAGGGAGAAACTGAAAGTTGAAGTTGGAGAAACCCCTGCCATCTCAGAATCCATTGATTATCAAGCGAAAATAACAGAAGAAGAAAGTATATGCTCATGTGTTAAAATGAGTAGCAATTTGGAGACGAAACCAACGATAGAAAATAAGAAAATTCAACTTAGTTTGCTTCCACGAGCACGCCATAAAAAATAAAATAGTGGGCCATCATTAATTAAACACCGTACAAATACAAAATGGACAGCGCACGTAGTACAAAGCGTCAAACTTTCCCAGAAACAGACGCCAGAATTCCCCAACAGTTCGTGTTGGTAATGGGATATTTTTTTGAAAAGAAGACAACACAACTTCGAAGTTGAATGCAGGCAATACGAAGATGGTTCAAGATTTATAATCACGACCATTTACATTAAGATAGATGTCTTGGTGGGTTTCTTTTCGTTGGAGACAACTATTCCTATGGAAGTGATTCTCGCACATTCTATTGATATTTCTAAATGTGCCTAATATTTTTCACCATGAACATCTCTTCAACGGCGTGATTTATCTGGTATTTTTGTCTATCCGAACTAGAAGAAAAATTAATAGAAGTGTAACAAATAAAACAACTATTATTGTATGATAAAATCATATCAAAAAAAAGCCCGTGCATCACCTGACTCTGCAGAAGTGGGGGCATGGAGCTATGAGATTGCGACTTGCCATGGAGGGGACTCTCGCACATTCTCTTAAATATTTTTAAATCCGTGTATGATCTTTCGCGATGTGTCTCTCCTGGAGTGTAATTTATCTTGTGCTTTTGTCGAAGGATTGAAGGATGAGCAAAGCTGTCAGCAGGAAAATGGAAGAACCACATGAAACCTAAGTTGGAGTAATCGGCAGTAATAGATTCCCATGAAAAGGACCTTAGCGTCTTTTGCTCATATCACCATCAAATCAATCGTGTCCAGCCACGCCACCTGTACCGTAGGCAAGTAGGCATCTCAAGTTCAGCAGCACACGCACATTGGTGTAGCAGATAATAGTGATCGATGGCGGAAACACAGCTTGAAGTGAATCGCATGGTAGCTGCATCTTGAGAACTCGCATGGAGTCGAGAAGAACTGATACATCTCATGGGGACCCGTGTACCTGGCTTCTCTCCATCTCCCCATCTCTTCTTTTCCTCTGCGCTCTCAATCTCAACGATTGGACTCGTTTTTAAATGATTTTTAAATAATTAATTTTTTAAAACGTTAAATCTCAATCATATAAAAATGAATCTAATCAAGGTAATCGGTAACGGCCAAACTCAGGAGTAAAGGGGGTCAAACCGGAGTCAAATAATAAAATAATAAATTTAAATAAAAAATGTATTAATTCTCATACGTTCATACATATCCAAGTTTTAATATCTCATATAACATATAACAATAATCTAACAATAATAAAGTATAAAACATTTCTATATTTTTTTAAAATAAGGTTAACTAAATGATAAAAAATTTCAATGAGTTAAAATAATAGAAATAAAATTTATTTTAAATAAAAGATAATAAATGAAAGTGATATATTTAAAATTATTTAATTAAATAATTCAAATTAAAACATAATATAATATAATATATATTTATACTTTTTGATTTTTTTTTACTTCTTTCATCCCCTTATCTGACATAAGTATATTGTTTTTACCCTATGACTCATATTGACCTATCATTAATTATTATCATGTTAAAAATAAATATATATCTTAATTAATTATTATTAATTTTTTTTTAAAATTTCAATCAATCCGCCCAACCCGCCTGAACCGAGGTTGGGCGGGTTAATCCGGGTTAATCTCGGGTCACCCGGGTTAACTGAAACAAAAAAAAAAAAGAAAAACGGACCGGACACATGGCCGGTCACCGGTTCACCGGTCGGACCGGCCGGTCCGGTCCGGTTTTAAAAACAATGAATCTAATAATTAAGACGGAAAGTAAGAGGAAATAATAAAAAAAAAAATGAAGAGAAGCCAGAACGTTAACATTCAATGAATTCTTTTGGCCAAAAATAAACATTCCACGAATTCTATTAAATAAAACAAAACAATACCCCATTTATTACATTTAATTTTTTCAACTATATCATTACATTATTTATTATTTCTTTTTTAAGAAAATATTTATTAAAATTTAACCATCACTATTAAGACATCTATACAAAACATTTAATGAGTATAATTAGAATGATATATGATTTTTAAAATATTAAGGTTTCAATTAATTTTTTTTACAAGTAGTTACCAATATCTATTTTTAATGCTTTATATTGTAAGATAAGATAATATAGCTTTAAAATATAATTTAATTAAAAAAATAACTATCCCAACATATTCTAACAATTCACCATGTTCTTGGTTTGAATGGTTTTTTACTTTTTGTTAAATACTCGACGGAATATGCGAACAGTATATTGTTTCCCAGTTAAAATAGTCAAACTGGCTAATCCAATTTTCAAAACATTGTTTTGAATTAAATTTATCTTATTAAAACTAAATATTCTCATATATACAACTCCATTGTTTAATTTCAAAATAATATTTCCCATTAGTTTAAAATTTAAAGTCCACGATAAATAATTTGACACATTTATACAAGACAAGCGAACAGTGAAGCTTCAATTGAAAAAATGCACTTCAAACATTTACGTTTATACATAAATAGGGAATTAGGGTGACTTAGTTTTTAGAGATCAGTCCTTAAAGACTTAAATCTTAAAATTTGATTATTTAAAATTAACTTATTTTTGAGACCCGACCTTTATTTATAGGACTCAAGGCCTGGCCCTTAAGCTCTCTTTCTTGCAAAAATCTATTTTAATTTAAACAAAATATTTTAAATTTAATATAAAATAAATTAAAGTCTCACATAAAATTTAACATAAATTTGACAAAGATTTACAATTTTAAATTTAAGATGAATATTAAAATCTTCATTAATATAAATTGAAATCCTCCTCATCATCATTTAAATATAAAATATTAGATCCTTTAAATGTAGGTTTACCTGTTAAAGATAGAAGTGCAGATTTAATGTTAATTATCTCTACAACTTCTTCCTCATCACTTACAATAAATATTAATCAAATTATCTCATTTTTAGTCAAATATATGTATGTATGTATATATAAGATAACTAAATTTATTTGGGCTTGAAAGACCGTCCAAGCCCAAGCCCTTTTTAACAAATTTTATTAGAGTTAAACTCTCAAGTACGATTACTTTAAAAAAATTAATTTTTAAAATTTAAACCTTTATTTAAATAAAACTTTAACACTTGACCTTTATTCTCAATTTTATTTGTATGTTTGTAGATAAAAACGCTCCTATGCTTGCACAAGCATCCAAAGAAGCGCCCAAACAGGGAGGTTTTGCAAGCGCTCCCAAAAAACAAAAAGGCAGGTATCTTTTACTATCATATCACCTAAAATATAGAAAGAGTAAGTCTCATCCATGATCCTTAATTGAAATTCTTCCTAAAACATAAAGAATATAGTTAGGTCCCAAAAGAATCAATTAATAATAGCTAAGTCCTTGATAAATGTTTTTTCAAAATGACTTATAAATATTAATTCAAGCAATTACAAATAAAAAATTCTATTACAATTTAAAAGTTATATTTAATATTTAAATATTTATTTACAGTTAAAACTCATGAATTTACAATAATTTAAATTGATCAACTTATTTTTCAAAAGAAATTTGTTGGGAACTTAGTTGATAATAATTCAATATTTTGAGACCTAACTCTCTTTCTCCCACATATGACTCCAACGTTCTTATATTTCATTTTAAGAATTAACCTCAATCATTTTGGTTACTTTTTTTTATGGAAATCAACAGTAAATTGACCCAAAAAGAATCTTCATTTCAGGATTTTATTTTTTTATTTTTAATAATATTTCTTTCTAGTAAATCTCAATCTCTAAATCAGTTAATTATTTATAAAATAATTTTTAAAAAATACAATCAACTATATCCAATTTTTAATTTAAATGCCCAGAGCTTATAATTCAACATTTTGTACGATTTGCCTTTTTTGATTTCATTTTGGAGTTTTTCATTTGATGAATTGAATTAATTACATCATATTTTAGAGATAATGTAATTTTTAATCCTTCAAATTTATTCAATTACTAATTTGATCTCTCAAATTTAATTTATATCAATTAGTCATCAAGTTTAGTTTGATTATCAATTTGTTCCTTACGGTTTTAAAAAGAGATTACACTATTAAAAGTTGCTAACTTGAATAATAGAATATTGATGAGTAAATTAATAAAATGAGTAATATTAAGTAGGAAAAAAAACTCTAAAATTTTTTGAAAAACAAACAAGAGAACAAAACATATTGTAATGAATTATATTTATAAAAATTAAACTCATTTGAGGGTTAATTTGTTCTCATTTAATATACATATATGCCAAATCATTAACAATTTTACACATTAGATTATTTTGAAAGTCAATTTATATTTTAAAACTTAAAGGACTCACATATTAATTTAAAAAAATATAAAAATTAAATTGATAAAAATTAGATTTAATGGATCAAATCATCAAATTAATAATTGAGACAACTTGAAAGACTAAAATTTTCATTATCCCCTATATTTTACAATATTTTTTATGTTATTTTTCCCCCAAAACATTTCAAATTGAACAACCATATACTCGTATCAAAATTAAATTTTAAATTGCTATTTGAGCAGGGACAAACATAACTTTCGATGCACCGCACGAGAATGAACACTAGTTACATACAATAACAAACCAAATATCATATACTAAATTTTACCACTTGTTTATATATCCCATTAGGCCTTATCCAGCTTACCAAAAATGGCCCAGTAATGCAATGCAACTTATGATTCAAGCATCTGCCTTCTTTTCTGCAAATGACTCTCTAGACACGTTTTGCAAGAAATTTCCAAGCAGCCTCTGATCAAAAATCATATTTGGCAGCTGGAAAGAGAAACTACAGGGTCAAGCATATGCACAAGGGCGGACATTGAAATAAGCCAGAGAGACAAGGAAAGGAGAGGAATACCTTATCCCCAAAGAATATCTTTGTATTACCAGCAATGGCCTCGATGAATTTAAGATCGAGAAATTCTGGGGTAAGCTTCAACCTGTTTGCTTCAGCCTCTTTTGTTACACTAGAAATTGAAATTGAGAAACGAATGTCAATGCCATTAATCATTTCGCTGTCCTAGGAGGATAAATTACTATGCCAGTACGCCGTATTAGCAAACTTTCTTTCGAGTGAATGACAAAACTCACCGGTAGAAATCCGCATCTGCCAGGCTCTTTTCACGTGCGAGGTACATTTGGTTCTCAATTTCTTGCTGGCGCCTAGAACCATCCTTTTCCAACAATTTCTGCTCCATAAAGGATCTTGCTAACATTGGCATTTTTCTCAGCCTCACTAATAGCCATCTTCTTCGAAGTCTCTGCCTCCTTCTCAGCCACTTTCTGTCTTTCAATAGCAATCAAGACCTATCCAAGACAGCCAAAGAATGTGTGTTCAACAAAAATTTATAAACGTGTGGTCAAAATAAAGTAAGAAAGAAAACCAGCCAGAAGCACAGGAGCCAACAGGATACATGACAGCATAGGTCCCTCAATCGAGACCAGAAAACAAGACAAGAAAAAACACGTGCGCACATGAATGAGGGGATACATGGGACCCAGACCTTGCACCTGCACAGCTCCACAACAATCACAAGAAACTGGCATGATTCCCTATCAAAAAACTACCTTAGTGCGCTCCTCTTCCATTTGTTGAAAGTTGCGCCTGATGCTATCTGGAATAGTTGGTTTTGTGACACGGACACTGATAATTTCAATTCCTGGAGCATAACGAGTGCAATCAACTTGAAGAGCATCCTTCATCTTTTCATCAATCTGAGCGAGCCAAAGTGGTTGTGTTGCCATCATAATCATACAAATTAGTATGTCATCATAATAGAAAGAAAAAACTGGACCACAAATAATACTTAATGAGTCCCTGAGAGGAAATATGGGAAATTTTACTCTAGAAAGAAATGAATTTGCTTTTGTGTTGCTTCAGTGTTTTAATTATATTAGAAAATTGTAAGTTTAGCTGGTTGTTATTTTAATGTTTTTTCTTTTGCTCTATGTTTCCTTGACGAGTAGGAAACCTTGCAAGTGGGCTGGTTATGCTTCCTTCATGTGAAGGAAACATTGCTCTATAAATAGATCATAGGCAGCACACATCCAAGGCAACTTGTTTCGATGAATGAATTACTCTGATGATATTCTGATAGTTCCCCCTCCAGCTCCTACGTTCTGTTTTTCTCTCCCCGTCAACTTCTCTTCTTTCTCACTAACTCCTCCTTCCCTGTTTCTAATACCTCACCCCATTTTTACCACTGTTCAATCTGTGCAATTGCGTGAGTGTGTCATGCATCAGTCACATATCTAAAATGCCAAAACAGGTCATCATATGTTCTATAATAGCAACAAAATTTAAGACTTTCATCAACTCTGAGGGGACGAGAGTAGAATTGAGTGACTCAATCCCCAAATGTTCATCAAATCAGCATGTCACATTGCTTGAAAATTACAGCGTTCAGGTTATTCCCCACTTTACAGCGTTCAGGTTATTCCCACTTTACCACAGGCATAAACATGCATAAATGGAAATGACTACCACAATCTATTATGGCAAATAAAAAAAAATGAAGCATCAACTTTTACCAGATCAGGTTATCAACAAACAAACAAAAAAAAAAACTTTACCTGATCAAAACATCAATATAGACCTGTTGAAGACTATGAGAACTGCAAAACTGATTAATCTCATGATGAATCTTGTCATATATCCATGTCTTGTCATAATGCACCCCGTAGTTGAGCAATGTCTCATAGACATGTTCCTTATGAAGTCGGTTTACAACCTTAAAAGAACAATAACGGTGACAGTAAAAATCATTAAATTTAAATTTAAAGATGTGAAAAATCAGATCACTTGTGAATAAACTATGTTATTAAAGAGACGGATATTTGATATTTACTTCTATCTTCTCAAAATTGATCATGACACCTCCTTTAGTACCACATGGTATATCTGTCACCTGCAATTGTATCAATAAGTTAACTTAGTGTGCCAACTGCCAAGTGAAACCACAATTCCAGAAACTGCTCGAAACAAATTACCATATCTGTCTGAAGTGTCACTTGAACAGGCTCATACTGTGTTAGGAAAGGCATCTTTAGATGAAAGCCTAGAACATTTAGCACCAAGAACATGAAGCAAACCTTTGGGAAAGTGGGTGCTAAAGAAAAAACAATAACAACAACAAATCTAGAGGCAAACAATCACCTGGCTCTGTAATTGCTTTCAGAAGAGCACCTCCTCTCCAATATACCCCGACATGGCCTTCTGGGACTTGGTGCAGAACAAAAAGCTATTTTTAAGGATGATGGTGATGAAGGGATCAATACCTGTAGACAATTCCTCATGTTTTCACTTTCGTATTTTGACTTTCAAGTATAATCAACTTGAATATAGTTCCAAATGTAGATTTGTTTTAATAACGCAGGTGGTGAAATTTTCAACCCAGACAATATTGATAAATAAGCCACAGATAATTAAAAATGCTAATACATCACATTATTATTGAACTGATCTCCTTCCTCACAATATAGTAAAGAGAAAAAATAACTGCAGCGTTCTTCTCTTCTTTCTTGCCAGTTACAGAGAATAACTATAAATGATAATGATAATTATCATTCCTCAATCTAACAATGGAACATGGACACCAAAGAAAAGTCCCCTCCCCACCCACAAATGGAACAGGATGAAAAATTTACTCCATGATTCAAACTGAGACACATAAGAAATGTATCCCAATGAAACTTTAGAAAAACAGCTCATAAATAAAGTTTTTAGCGTCTAAAAAACATTTCAGGCTACAGCGGAAACATTGATATAAATTGAGGGAAAACAGCATAATCAGTTTAGAATATTACAGATAAAAAGAAAGAAAAAGAGGAGGAAAAACCACAAACCAAATTACCAAAATAAATTCAGCGAAATCAAGAAAATAATTTATACGATTCCACTAATGCGATTTCGTGCAGTATTGTACTTCAGCCGACTTAGAGCAATCAATGTAGTTGAAACTCAAGCAATGAAAATATGCATTCCAGCAGAGACTACGAACACAATCAAAGAACAAAACCGAATACAAATACATAAACACGCATTCATATACATACATTGCAGTTAAGGAAATGCAACATTAAGAGAAAGGGTTACCATGGCAGTGATGGCGATGAATGGGAGAAAAACAGTGAGAATGGAGGAGGAATCGGAGGTTTGCGTCGGGGGACGCGGCTGATGAGCACCAGCCCTCTGTTGATTTGAATCCATGGCGATTCTCTGCACTACCCTGCCCAGTCACAGAACAACGAATCCACGTCTTTCAGCTTCTCTTTGTGGCGAAGAATAACTTGCAGATTAGGGAGAAATGAGTAGAGATTAAAGAATGATAACGAAGAAATATGTCCTCTGTCTGAGAAAATGAATCCAGAAAGAAAGAGAAAAAAAAGGTGATGAAGAAGCTAGGTCGAGCTTGCAAAGAAGCACCGGAGGAAGCATCCTCAGAGGTGCTGGGCATTCTTTCTAAAAATGGTACATGAAATACTTTTTTGTATAAATTTAAAAAAATTAAAAAAATAATTATTAAAATATTAAAACTTTCTTTGAGAATGCAAATGATAAGAATTGAAAGTATGTGGGAGGTGAATGTTGAATTGTTAATCTCATTTTATCAATAAAAAAATCATTTATTTGGACTACCGTCTATTCAAATTCTAATTAAACAATTTTTCATGCGTTGCACGAGTTAAATTTAAAAAATTTAAAATAATTATTATAGATAATATTAATATTGTTAAATCTTTTTAGAGCTTTTAATTTAATCATTTTCTTTCTTTTTAAATATTTCATTCGCACACATCTCTTTGTTTCTCGAACTTATAGTGAGTTATAGAGAAAGTTTAAAAATGTCAAATATTTAATGATTACAGCATATATGATTGAGTTGTGAAAACTTCTGAATATATATCCTACATCTTAACTGAATTGTTCCTAATCAAAGAATCTCTTTTTAGTTGCCCTAAAACAATTAAAGATTCTCTAAGAAAAATGTGGGGTTCTATTTGAAGCGATAATATGGCATGAGTTGGTGGTCCCATTTATGGGGTGAAATCAATTACAAAATAAAATGCCATATATGAATAAAATTTTATCAAAAAATTAATTATATCTTTGCAAAGATAAAAAGTTGGAAAGCCGAAACATAACAATTGTAAGTTTTTCCTTTGACCATATTCTTCTTTGTTTACTCATTCACTTGAAAAGTAAGATAGAAAAAACTTTTTTATCTTGATATTTGTAAAATGAATTACTTGACAGAAATTAAGATTTGTTGAAGGTTTCTTTTTCAACCACCTACTAACACACAACTTTTGAAAGAATTAATTTGAATGTATTCAATTTTTAAAGAAGTACTAAAATGAGAGACTTTTGATTAGAAAATCAATTCTAATAGTAGGAGTAGTTAGAGGGATTGAAATAAAAAAATATACCAATTCAATAGTAAAATATTAAAAAAATAGTTTTGCAAATTTCAATGAGATAATCGAGAATTTGAATATTTAAAATTTATTCTTTTTCAATATTCAAAGTGATTGAGATTTAATTTTTACTATCAAACATTGAAACTGGTATTAAAAAAATGATTTTGCAAGTTCTAATGAAATAATTGAGAATTTGAATATTTAAATTTATAATTTTCCAAAATTTAAATGATAGAGATTTAATTTTCATTGTCAAATATTAAAACTAATATTTTACACACTTGACCATAAATATTCATTAATTAAGTGATGGGAGAACCTGCGAATGAAATATGGAATAATTAACCTTAATGAGTTAGTTATAGTGATTATCTTTGCAAGAAAGATTATGAGTAATAATATAAACGAAGACAAATCTAACAAAGTTACAGTGAATATGGTTTTTCAAGTTCACATTTTTGATAATTGAATATTATTAAATAGTTTTCATATTCAGATTTTAATAGAGGATTTTAAATTTAAAATGAAAGAAGCAACATAAAACAAAATTTGGAAGGCCTCAGTTTTTTCAATCCATGCAAATTGAGCAAGAAACAATTATTAAAACAAAAATCATACCTTCTATTTCACAATTAGGTCTTATGCTCTTCATTCGATATAGTAAAATCAATCATTGTGACCTCTAATAAGATTTCATAGCTCTTCGACTTGATTCCATTATTTTCTAAACTGATCAAACAAAGCTCGCTCAATGATAACAGAACCTACCAAACAATTTTTAAAATAAAACACATGTGGAAAAAAAGAATGTTGATGCTAAAGAATTAATGATGGTTTTAAAATAAACACTGGTGCAAACAGCATCATCTTGGACCCCTAAAAATTTTTGAAGGGAGTAAATTAAAAAAAAAAACAGAGAGGATCAAATGGAGGATTATTGAAACAACCATTGAAAATATGGCTTTGCGTAAATGACGTTTGGAGAGAGAGTTGAAATAAATGCTCCCGTTTTGAATGAGAATTGATAAAAGAATTGATGAAATAAAAAAGAATAGAAGAAATAACGTAAAAATAAGTTGAGAGAACATGATAACAGAACCTACCAAACAATTTTTAAAATAAATCACATGTGGAAAAAAAGAATGTTGATGGCTAAAGAATTAATTATTAATATATACTGATGATACTGATTGATTTTTTAAATTTATTCAGGTTCATCCATTCAAATATTCTTTGACCAGGGGGGTGGAGCTGCCCACGAAGCACCAGAGGAAGCACTTCTGCGGTGCCGTCTTCATTGGAAATTATCTTTGTTATATTATTAAATATTAAAAATAGTTAAAATGTATAAACTCTTACTAAATTTGAGGTAATTGCTATAAAATTTAGTTTATTTTTAAAATTTTAAAATTAACCTATTTACCTTTTATTTTTTACTACAGACTTATCTGCTATTCCTTTTTAGCTATTGTATTAATAGAGAAATTATTATGTCATACTGAAAAAGAAATGTAACTGTGTATGTAGTATTCGATACAAGTAATAAATAACTGCTATATATCTTTTTTCAAAATATGACATGAATAACTAATAAATAATAGTAAGAGAGTTTGTGGTTAAAAAATAAAATACTAAAATGTTAGTTTTAAATTAAAAGTAAAGATTCTATACAATTACCTCAAAATTTAAGAAAGTTTTATATATTTCAATTTTAAAAATTTTTAATTAAAATTCACTTCCATCTTCTATTTCTACTTTTATCTTTACTATAAAAGTTGAATACTGATCAGCAATTTCATCGGATAACAAATTTGATAATAAGCCCCGTATTGTTTTCTTTTTTCTAACAGCTCTTAGAATTTTTTTCCCTCCTAAACTTGAGATCCTCAATTTTTTTCCTCTCAAATTTAGAAATAATAAAATATTTTTTAATATCCAAGCACGGTTCCAATCTAGTCAAAGATAATATTAATTAATGGAAAGATATGTCATATGAGGCAATCGGAGACTTCCCTGCAATGAGGATGCATTTGCTTTGTTCAAAGAACGGCTAGACAAAGGAAGGAAATGTCATCACATGATGAGTTTAAGATTACATCATGTGTAACTAGAATTACATGACGGGGGCTCTCTCTGCTGTTGAACTTCACCCTCTGAACCGCTCGACTCGTCTTCCCCATCCGATGAACATCATCTGGCGATGCTCCTCCACAACCCAACTCATACAAATGTCATCCATAGGCATCAACTTGCTGGTCTACTTATGTATTTGTATTCTCTATTTTTTCCCCATACAAATAAAGGTTTAAATTTATCAAGCACGACAACTATTAACTAGGGAGGACCAAAAAAAAAAAAAACTGTTTGTGACAATATAATTCTAAGTATGCCAAGATGTAGGATCTCAACATGAACAGAGATTCCCAAACTTCCTTGCCAAGGATTACTTAAATGCAAAATATGTGGCAGACATTAGAAGAAAAGTAATACGATTAATGAAGCAAGTTTACATAGTTTCAAAAGTACGAGAAAGTGGATAAGGAGAATAGCTACAACTCTATGTGCAAAGTAATGTAAAGGATAATTGGTGTGATGAAGCTTTAGTGTTTATGTTTGTTGTTCATGTCTTCTTTCTTTAGCTGATCTATATTTATAATGCTCCTCTAATGTTGTTATGACCGCCCAAATGAGGAGATTGGATGCTTTCTGCCAATTCAAGGCACATCAATTAATGGTCTCTCGTCTAGATAACAATCTTCTGGTTTAATCATTTCAGTTTTACAGGTTACGTCCCTTCCACAACTCAACACTTATTTAGTCAAGAGGGTTTCATTCTGATGGACCGAGTGTTGCTTCAATGGACAATTTATTAGGCTTGACTCCTTGTTTATCTGGGCCTTATGCTTTATTTACTGTTATTTTGGGCTATATTTAACTGTGACGTTTTAGGCCTAAACAACTACATCAACAAGAAATGAAAGTTATAATTATTGCTCCCTTAAATCTTATCTGTAAGACTCTTTAACAAAATTTTAATGGAACATTTATCTCAAATCTTCGAAGAACCTTTGCGTCATTCACTCTTGGCTTTTTCATTGTCTTCGCATATCTCTTCCTTCCAATCAACTTTAACAATCAAAGAGTTGCTTTGAGAAGTTGTTAAAAATTTTTGTCATTGAGTTACTTAAAATTAATTTTCTTAACTTCATGAGAGTTGTTGTAATGGAATCTTATAAAAAGGATCAGCGTGCGAGTAATGATTGACTGGGAAAACATAGTTTTGAGTGGGAAAACATAGTTTTTTCTCATAAAGTTACAGTCAATTTGGATCAAGGTTGTTATAGTTTTTGGTTGAGGAACCGTTTCTTGGAACTGTGGTCAATCTTAATCAAAGTTATCATTATTATTATTACTAAATATCATTATCACATTAGCAACACATCATCTCGGTCTTCATCAACGTTGTTCACAATCCTAAAACCAATTTTAGTTTGGTCAGTGTTGACTGCAGCTCTAAATTAAAAGACCAAAGCATATATTTCCCCATTAATGATTAGGAAAAATTAATCATTTAATTTTTAAAATTTTAACTCAATTATAACTCAATATTTTAAGTTTAACTAAATGCAATTCAATTTCATGATTTAACTGGTTATAATCTAGTCCCTATATTTTTAAAAATCATTTAATTATTTATAACTTATCATATGTGGCAATGATGTGGACTAATAGAGTTAGAGTTTACTTATGTCATCCTTTCAAAACTACATGGATTCCACATCACTAAAA